AGAGTTGACTGAATTATTCATGCTGATTTAGATATCGATGCAACCTCCTAGAGATGAAACTTCGACCATATCTCTTAATCATATGATGGTTACAATAGGTGACGATGATTCATTTTGATCTTTCGGAGATACTTCATTGATGTTTGAGATGAAATAAGTTACAATGGTTCATTCTGGAGATAGTAATTCATACGATTATTGTGTTATTTCACAATGGGCTTCAATGCAGTATGCTACTTCAAACCCGTTACAGGCTCGATTCCCTTTACGTGCATGCGCAAAAGCTTATCCGTTCCAACACTCTTAATTATTCCATTGCAAAACGAATCATTACAAAGTTGCATAATTCAGGTAGATCTTCTCATTTTCACGTTTGTTTGTCATGAAAATGTTTTCATTCTTGCTGCTTTCCTGGGAACATTCGCTTTGCTATAGGAGATCAGTACTGAAGTGACTACGGATATAATCAACGTTGGTCTATCGAGCAAGAGAATGTTTAATTTGTTTAATAACAGTTTAGTAAGATTGAATGCCTCAATAATAATAGTCTTCATACTGACTGATTCATAAATAAGCTTCCAAGTCGAATTTTGCCTAATTTCAGTTGAAAATCGATGCACTCAAACTTGAACAGTTGATGATTCTTTGGCGGAATATGCGCCTGAAACGACTGGCTAACTGTCGATGGTACGAGTGTCGTGACCGACGATTCACTGAAGAATGTCGCAGGCAACGGGAATCTCTCCGTTACGGCAAATCGTCACTTCAAGAAATGCTCGCTGAACAATGTCGATTGGTACATCTGACAGCTGCACGATGCCTGTTCGCTTGTCGATTCAATGTTCCATAGGTATTTGAACATTTCAACCACTCATCATTCCTCACTATATCAGTTAGAGATTTTGCATTTCATTTAATGTCACGTTCCAAATCAAATCACATTTACGATTATCCATTGAGGCAATGGACGACAAATGAGACGATTCAACAGAAGATTGAAGAATCATAC